TGGTTGCAAACTCAAGACCTCTGGTAACTAAGGAAAACAAGGGCGCACTCACTCCCCATGTTCCCTTGCCTCGCCAAGCTCTCCAGAAACAGGATACGATTGTGGCACCTGCAGCTTTCGCGGCAAGCAGAGAAATCCTTGCAAGTGCGACTGCGTTAGGTTATGAAACCCAATGGGAATTAAAAGCGTTAAGATTTTATTGGCGCTTAACCATATGCTTGAAAGACCTGCCTAGAGGATAGCCTAACATTTGGAGACGGCAACCCTTCATGTGGGCTTATTAGCACAGTAGGTTTCCATTGTAGCTGCAGCGAAGCTAATGAGGCCTTGCCACCGTTTCCTGATGGAGCCAGCGTTTAACTTAACAAATTTATCACCTGATAACAGCCCAATTAATCCAGGCAACCATTAAATGGGATGGGCTATGCAGATCTAAAGGTTTCGTTTATGAAGCTTCCTGGACTGAAGTCCCAGGCAGCTTGTGCTCCTGTAACTGAGGGAGGAAGAAGGCTCTCATACGAAAGGACAAGAGATGGAGAACCTCTGGCCTGTGGTCTCCCGAGGCCATTTTGGCCAGGAGTCCTGTGACTTTCCAGCCAGACACCAGGCACCCAGATTATGGGCATAAGGTGCCATGGGAAAAGTTAATTTCTGAGAGTCACAATGCTATTTTTTATTTTTACGGAAGGGACTTTATTAAAGAAACAGGAAAAGGCAGGGCCCTTCAGACTTTTAAATAAAACTTGATTTAATTTTTTTAACTGTGTTTTGTTTTGTTTTTGTACACAACCCTAAAGCAGTTGCCAGTGAAGCCAGAGCTCAGGTTATAAAAGCCAATTTCACACTTGCAATGACAGTGGGAGTCAAAGCTTAAGGCACCTCTGCTTAAGTGCTTGCCGGAACTGCAGCCAAGACTTTTTTTTTAAAAAAAGGGGAGGATTGACGAGATTTTTAAACTCAGGCGGAATTGCCTGGTTGTCGTGGCAATGCCCTTTTCTGCGCCATTACTTCCCTTCCCTTTAAAAATGTCTTTCCAGTACAATTACTTTTGTTTTTTTCAAATTACACTGCCCCCACCCTGCCGGCATGCCTTTACAGCCCTTGTCGCCTGCGATACCATAATTTGCTCTTTGCTCTGGATGCTCCTATTTCGGTTCCCTTCGGCCGGCCAACTCAGCAGCTGTCCTGAATAGGAGATCCTTTTTTTTGTTTTCATTTGCAGGGAGCGGGCTTAGGGCTGGATAATTAAGAATTCGCTTTGAAGAGAAGACGAGAGCCCAGCCAAGACGTAAGCCAGCATGCTGCCAGGCCAGCCACCATCCTGCCAAGAGAGCAGGCGGGCAGTCCACCTAATAGGCAAGCCCAGGCGGTTGCCAGAATCTGCCGATTGGCCGGGGGGGTGAGGGGAGGGGGGAGAAAGCAACCCAAGACTGCAGCAAAAGGGTTCCAGCCCTGCGGTGCACTCTGGCCCTAATTGGGACGGCAGCCATGTGGGTTTTCCTTCTGCCATGCCAGACTAGAGTCCTCACACAACGATACTGCCAGGTTCTGCAAAGCGCAGACCAACAGGATGCTGTCCTTGCGCGAGGCTTTTTTTAAAACAAAAAACCACAACTGTTGGTGCCAAAACTTGGGAAGAATCAGTAGGGCAGGACCATGCAAGTCTACCACACTACCTAGCAAATAATAATAATAATAATAATAATAATAATAATAATTTATTATTTGTACCCCGCCCATCTGGCTGGGTTTCCCCAGCCACTCTGGGCAGCTTCGAACAAAGATGAAAAATAAACTAAAATGTCACATATTAAAAAGTTCCCTGAGCCTTCAGATGTCTTCTGAATGTCAGGTAGTTGTTTATCGCTTTGACATCTGATGGGAGGGCGTTCCACAGGGCGGGCGCCACTACCGAGAAGGCCCTCTGCCTGGTTCCCTGTAACTTGGCCTCTCGCAGTGAGGGAACCGCCAGAAGGCCCTCGGCGCTGGATCTCAGTGTCCGGGCAGAACGATGGAGGTGGAGACGCTCCTTCAGATATACTGGACCGAGGCCATTTAGGGCTTTAAAGGTCAGCAGCAACACTTGGAATTGTGCTCGGAAACGTACTGGGAGCCAATGTACATCAGCATAGGAAGTTGTAACATATCTGATTAATATTCCACAGCCTTTTCAATGTGTCTGTGGGAAGGGGGGGGTTGTTTTGCTGTATTGTTTTAATTATTTACCTGTTTTTATCTTGTATGTTATTCTGTGAACTGCCCTGAGATCTTATGATGAAGGGTGGCATATAAATTTAATAATAATAATAATAATAATAATAATAATAATAATAATAATAATGCCGACTCACATCTTTATTAGTTCCAGCTCAGGACTGTCTAGACTGACTGCAGTGGTTCTCCAGGATTTCCCTTTTAAATGAGTTCTTAGGAGGGTCTGGGGGTTATTGGTTTGTAGGGTTTTTGGTTCTTGTTTTTATATGTGCTGGAAGCCACCCAGTCAGATGAGTGGGGTACAAATATTAAGTTGCTGTTGTTGTTCTTATTATTTTATATTGTATTTTTATGCTGTGAACCACACTGAGATCTACAGATTAAGGGCCGTTTGCAATTTTAATTAAAAAAATAAACAATAAATTTCAAGCCCCCTGGTCATAGAATTGTAGAGATGGAAAGGACCAAAAAAAGTGTCATCTAGTCCAGGAATCTTTTGCCCATCGTGGGACTCAAACCCATGACTCTTGAGATTAAGAGTCTCATGCTCTACTGACTGAGCTATCCCACCTGGACGTGTCAGCAATTGCAACGTGGGACCTTCTAAGTGCAAAGTAGATGCCTTGCCACTGAGCTGTGGCCTCCCCCCCACCCCAAGTGATTAAGAAGCTGTGTTATACTGAGTCCAGAATTTGGCCCATCTAGCTCACTATTGTCTACACTGACTGGCAGAAGCTCCCCAGGCTTTCTCCCAGGGCGCTACCTGGAGAGGCTGGGGATTGAACCTGGAAGCATGCAAAGCAGATGCTGAAGCCCTGAGCCACGATCCCTCTCCAGCAGCCAGAGGGTGGAAAGAACTGGCGGGGAAAGAGGAGGAAGGAATTCCATGAGATGGAGGGAGGCAAGGGGAGAAGGAGTCCAGGTGGACTGTCTCCTCCCCACAAAGGACCATCTACCATCAGCTGCCCTGGGGGAAAGGATCCCAATGACCTGCCCTACGTGTTGATATGATTTATTGTGGTTTGAACTGCACTTTGAAGCCCCTTGGGGAGCCTCCTGAAAGGTGGGGTATAAACAGTTCTGATTAATAAATAAAAGCTCTGCTGTTGCTTGCCCTGTTTGAAAGCCAAAGTGGGCATTTGATCTCGAAGCTATGCTAGCGGGGGGGGGGGGGGGCGGGACGGAACCCCCTACAATCTGTTACCAGCAGCAGTTCTAAAGGAGCCTCGCCGCCAAGGGAAATGGCTGTGCAGGCTTCCAGCATGTTCACACAGGTAAAACTACAGGTGTACGCAATGAAGGAAAATAGAATTTGCTGGAGCCGAGCTGAAATTTCAGCTGTTCGGTCCCAGTTTTGGTGGTGAGGGGAGAAGCATTCGCGATGAAAGTGATGGGCAGAAGATCGTCTGGGGAAATTCTGCTCTACAGAATGTCAACGGGTGGCGTCCCCCAAATGGATATTTTCTGTTGTCCTGTGGAGTGTCCTTCCTTCTGCTGTATGTGAAGAAGCAACCACCAGCTGCTTCAGAGGTTTTGTAAGGACATCAGTTTTGACCCAGACTTTTCCTGACCCATAAGACTGAGCCCTGCTTGATGTGTATGAATGCCCTGGTTCTCAATTTTATTGGCTTCCATAAGTTTTATACTGTTAGATTCACAGAATTGTGGAGCTGGAAGGGAACCCAAAGGGTCCCTATGCCAGCCTCTTGCAATGCAGGAATGCTGTTTTATCGGTTTTAGGTCGTATTTCTGTTTCAACTGATACAGCACATAGTGAAAACTGCTTAAATGGTCTTTTTCTTCTTCTTCTTTTGAAATATCGAGCAGTTAATAAACACTTATTTATAAGTAAGTAAATGAAATGCACCTCTCCTAGTTTGCATTGCAGGGTGTTTTGAGGGCTATTCTGGGATGGGAATGGGAAGCACAACTGGGAAGCTACCAGTGAGAGGGTGGGATATTTCTCTCTCTCCTAGAACTCCCCTTGGAATGAATAATGCCAAATTATGACACAAGATCATTCCAGAGGCGATAATGGGAATCAAAGTCTGTTATTAGAGATCCTGTATCCTCCTCCCTGCCTCACAGTTCCCAGGATTCTCTGACAAGAGAAAAGCACAAGATTTGTAGGTTTGCTGGAGTTCCCAGATCCTCCACATTTCATGGATCTGCAATTCCCAGGGTTCTCTGCGGAGAGCGGATCCCTATCCTATCCACTTTAAGTCTGCGGTACAGACATGTCATTGGTCATGGCCATGCAAAGACAGTTTCTAAGGAGGTTGGGAATTGCCTGGGAGTCCAGTCAAAGTAGTCGAGACTAGACTCCCCACACTGGACTGTTTCTTATATGAAGAAGGACCTATATTTGAGGCAGATTTCCCAGGAGCCATAAACTGGGTTGATTAAGTCTTTGACTTATTCTAAATCATTGTTGATGCCATTTTGGTTCTCCTTGGTGCAGGTGAAAATAACTGCTTTTCTAGGCTCTGGGACTGGCAGTGTGTCCCATGTATTGGGGCTACTACATTAATAAAAGTGGTTAATAAATTCCATTCCAGCAAGAGCCCTGGCTTGGGTTAAATGGGTGGACATGGGTTGCCTGCACAACTGAGAAAGAACAAAAGAATCCCATATCAGCCTCATTGCTCCAGGACCGTTAAAGCGCATGAATTTCTTGCTAGGATAGCAGGGAAGTCACGGGGAGTTTATGGGAGCAGGGGAAGAAAACCTCGGTCCTGATCTAGCCAATCGCCTTTTAGGAGAGGAATGAGAAAAATGCTACTTACGCCATGACAATAACAGAAAAATCTAGCCAGTTCCATGGGTCCCGGAGGAAGGTGAATTCCGTCATACAAAATCCTCTCGCCAGAATTTTTATCAATGATTCAAAAGTGTAAATACCGGTGAAGGTATACCTGCAAAGGAGGGGTTGGGGGGAGTGTTAAAAGGTCCAAGAAAAAGAGAGGTAGAGTGTGTGTGTCAGTAGTTGTGGGGAGAGATAATATATATATATCACTCAACAACCAACAACAATCTCCATGTGTGAAAAGGGCACTGGGGTCAAAACACCACAAAAGCTTTCATTTAACCATCCAACATTGCCTCAAACTCAGTGCATTCCGATGGGTACAGTTCACACGTGCTTCTGCAAATCATTCAATGGTGTACCTGCATGTTCATGTTCATGAGTTTATTGCTCCGGCCAAAGGCCATGACAAACTCGTATTAAGCAACTACACTAATAAAATAATACAGAACATACATCCATACTATAAAAGAGACATTGCCAAGTCCCTGAGCATTAAAATACAGTTTCCTTGTGCATCTCTGACAGCTCCAATTCTAAAATTATTCCGCCTTTTAAAAGTCTCATTTGATGTAAGTTACCAGAGACACCAACAAACTCAAATCCATCTTGATTTAAGATTAGATCTCCAAATCGCCACAACAATTTATAGCAATTCCATCTACAGTGGTACCTCGGGTTACATATGCTTCAGGTTACAGACGCTTCAGGTTACAGACTCCGCTAACCCAGAAATAGTGCTTCAGGTTAAGAACTTTGCTTCAGGATGAGAACAGAAATCGTGCTACGGCGGCACGGCGGCAGCAGGAGGCCCCATTAGCTAAAGTGGTGCTTCAGGTTAAGAACAGTTTCAGGTTAAGAACGGACCTCTGGAACGAATTAAGTACTTAACCCAAGGTACCACTGTATCTCCCTTTTCCTGATTTTTTCTTTCTTTCTTTTTGCAACTAGTACCACTCTTTGTGTGATGGAGCTATTGTTGTCACTCAAAAGAAACTGTACCATTTCTGCCAGGTTGTGCCTGCTAGCTTGTGTGAACAAAGGTTTTGGAAAGCGATCTCTTGGATCTCTATATAAGGGGCAGGCTAAGAGATGATGAGTTATGTCTTCCACCTGAGGTTGACCACAAATAAAAAGTCTGTCTACGTACAGGACCTTGGTTGTATGTAGCAGCCATCCCAGACTGCAGTGGGTGTCACTTGGAAACACAGTTCAGTAAAGGCATTTCTTAAGGAAACTGGTGAGAGTTTGGTCAGATAACTAGCTCTAAAATGCTCTGTTCTCAAGAATAGATATCGGGGGGGATTTGGTGTTTCAAATTAGTTGCAACTAAGAACCAATCCCTTAGCTGACATTTATTCAATGTCAAAGCAGAGTTCCGGAAAATATTAATAGTGTTAAACATCTTGATAAGCTGATTTCCAGAGTTGGTTATCATCCAATTCTGTATAGCACAGTGCAGGGAAATGCTTAACAGGCATTGTAGCAACTTTTAAAATATACTTTAACTGAGTGCAGTCCGCTCCTGCCTTAATGTGGCTACCCAGATTCTGCCTTAATTGTGGCTACCCAGATTCTGTACAGACAGGAGTGCCTGGCATGCTCTGGTCCATGGGGTCACGAAGAGTTGGACACGACTAAACAACTAAGCAACAACAGGTTCTGTACAAAGAAGCGCTGCTGATGTTCCTGAAGGTAGAGACTTTAGCTTCCAAAAGAAATTATTCTGCACAGTTTCTAAACCTTTAATGGAGTTCAAACCACAGAGCATATGAGTAAGAACTTTGCTACCAAATATCTTTAAGGCAGGTTCAATCAGCTGCCCTCCTTTAGTGTAAGAGAACTTTATCAATGCCCCTATGGTTTTCTGTGCTTTGACTTTCACTGCCTCCATATGACACTTCCAAGACAGGGCTTCATTAAAGAATATGCCCAGGTATCAAAATGAGCGAAATTGTTTTCATGCTCTACCAACTATAGTTTTCTGATCTAAGCACCATTTACACATAGGCCTGTGCCAAAAAACATAACATTGGTCTTAAGAATAATTTATAGAAAGTATGCACTGAACACCTCCAAGAAATTTTTGAGACATAATCAAGAAAGAGAGAGGAACACTAAATAATCTGGATACATCAAATATTGAGATCTTCCTGTTCCTAATTACTGGATAGAGTAAAAGTTTGCATTGGCTAAACATGGCACCAAATCATTAATATAAAAGTTTAAAAGAATGGGAGTCAGAAAGCAACCTTGCTTCACTCCTTGTGACATTTTAAAAGCATCAGTCATACCACCATTTAAACCTACTCTGACCCTCATTTCTGTATGGTTCTTGGGTCAACAGCAGAAGTCTGCAGTCGATGTTAGCAATTTGAAATTTCTCCCCCTGTCTGTTTCGATTAATAGAGTCGGATGCAGCAGAAAGATCAATAAAGGCTACATAAAGATTGTTCTTAGTATATTTCCTTATAATACAGTTCAGAGTGAAACAGTGATCAATGGCACTGTGTCCTCCTCTGAATTCCACTTCTTCTTCATGAATAATGTTATTTTTGCAACGGTCTGGTCATTTTTTGAAGGAGATACCATGCAGGTACCTCGGGTTACATACGCTTCAGGTTACAGACTCTGCTAAGCCAGAAATAGTGCTTCAGGTTAAGAACTTTGCTTCAGGATAAGAACAGAAATCGGGCTCCGGCAGTGCGGTGGCAGCAGGAGGCCCCATTAGCTAAAGTGGTGCTTCAGGTTAAGAACAGTTTCAGGTTAAGAACAGACCTCCAGAACAAATTAAGTACTTAACCTGAGGTACCACTGTAGGTACCGCTCTGGCAGGAAGGTAAACGATGTTTCCATGTGCTGCTCTGGTTCGCCAGAAGTGGCTTTGTCATGATGGCCACATGACCCGGAAGCTGTACGCCGGCTCCCTCGGCTAGTAAAGCGAGATGAGCGCCCCAACCCCAGAGTCGGCCACGACTGGACCTAATGGTCAGGGGTCCCTTTACCTTTACTATGCATGTTGCTAGTTCTTGTGCCTCAGGCCTATATCAAACATGCTGGATAATCATGTGCACAAGTAAGGATTTCTCAAATGTACCTGAATAGGAACCAGTCTCCTGTGATGAGATAAAAGGCCCTTATTTCCAGCAAGAAATCAAATAAAGCTCCTGGAGACGATATGAGTCCACCTTAGAATGGTAGATTCCTATCCTGGTTGGCTTGTTCACCACCATAAACAATACAGGCCAAATGCCCTCTGGGTGGAAAATGGGTATTTCATCGATTTATAAGAAAGGGAGTAGGAAGAATTCACAAAACTATCACTCAGTTAACTTGTTAGACATCTTCTCCAAGCTACAGTATATGCATGGTAAAGGTAAAGGGACCCCTGACCATTAGGTCCAGTCACGGCCGACTCTGGGGTTGTGGCGCTCATCTCGCTTTATTGGTCGAGGGAGCCGGCGTAAAGCTTCCGGGTCATGTGGCCAGCATGACTAAGCCGCTTCTGGCAAACCAGAGCAGCGCATGGATACGCTGTTTACCTTCCCGCTGGAGCAGTACCTATTTATCTACTTGCACTGGTGTGCTTTCAAACTGCTAGGTTGACAGGAGCAGGGACTGAGCAACGGGAGCTCACCCCGTCGCAGGGATTCGAACCGCCGACCTTCTGATCGGCAAGTCCTAGGCTCTGTGGTTTAACCCACAGCGCCACCTGCATCCCTAGCAACATGCATACTACCCTACTTATTTGGATACAGGAGATGCCAAGCATGTGCCAAATATGCACCTGTGCATAATTTGCCAGTTGCTTAAGAGGCCCTGGGTTTTGTGTACTTTGCTGTAATGGAAATGAAAAAAGGAGTAAGATTTTGTGGGACGCAGTGAAGATTGCAAAGAACTGTAGCATCCACAGTAAGCCTTTTTAAAAATCTGCTGCTGACAGAGCCACATGAAGGCAGCTGGCTCTCTTCATTTCTCTAGCTTAAATTTTGCATTGTGCTTTAAGTGGCTATTTGCATGGGATTTTCCATGTTGTTTTATCTCCAGAGGAGCTCGCTGCAATTCATGCATGCAAGTCAAGCCACACACAGAGCCAGAAGGTCTCAGTCCATTTCTAAGTGAACGCCCATTTTGCATGTGTTGGATCCTAAGTCTGTTCCACCTCATTTACTCATTAAACTACTATAATAATTATTATTAATCTGCATGGATTTTTTTATCTCAATAATACTTAAATGGGCATTTCATCACAGGCTATTTAAATATGTATTTTATCTCAACGTACATATTTCTAAATGGATTTTGTCCTAAATTATGCATTTTAAAACTTTTTAAAAGTCAAAAGCTGATCTGCACATTAGTCCAGGGGATTCAGGTCAGGTAAGTTCCCACTGGAATTCAAATTCCTGAAGCAGACTACACACCCCACAGGAGGTGAAAACAATTTGACCTGGGGCAAAATTCCTCTGTGAACCCCAAAATGAGAGCCAGACAAGATGTAAAACAGTGCGTTCCTGTGCAGAATTTGCTGTCGTGAGATGCAGTGAAGGCAACAAGCCTAAACATTTTTAAACAGGAGAAAAGGGTTATGACAAAATCATGGAGGCCTATTATGGGCTACCAGTCCTGACACCTAAACAGAACTTCCATGTGTGGGAAACATACAAACATAGGACAAACCCTGCTATTAGTTCTGCTACCGCTACTACTAACTAATAAAAATATCACAAACTATTCTTCATAAATAAATGCAAAGTTTTTACAAGCCACGCACCCTGAGGTAAGAAAACATGCGGCTGTTGATAGGTTTAGCACAGGGATTCCCAAATTGGAGGTCTCCAGCTGTTTTTGGACTACAACTCCCATCATCCCTGACCACTGCTCCTGCTGGCTAGTGATGATGGGAGTTGTAGTCCAAAAAAGTGACCCAAGTTTGGGAATCCCTGGTCTAGCAGAAGGGTGGGGAACCTCAGAGCCAAGGGCTGCAGGTAGCCCTCCACACACCCCTCTCTTTCCAGCCTTTGGGGCTCTCCACATACTGAAATCTCTCACTGCCGCTACTCCAACACTGTTCTGGAGTGCTTTTCCCTGTAAGGGAATATTCCTTGTCATGCAGCCCAAGGAAGGTTGCTCACGGGGGAATGTGGCCCTTGAGCTGCCAAAAATAAAATCATAGAATCATAGAATCATAGAGTTGGAAGAGACCACAAGGGCCATCGAGTCCAACCCCCTGCCAAGCAGGAAACACCATCAGAGCACTCCTGACATATGGTTGTCAAGCCTCTGCTTAAAGACCTCCAAAGAAGGAGACTCCACCACACTCCTTGGCAGCAAATTCCACTGTCGAACAGCTCTTACTGTCAGGAAGTTCTTCCTAATGTTTAGGTGGAATCTTCTTTCTTGTCGTTTGGATCCATTGCTCCGTGTCCGCTTCTCTGGAGCAGCAGAAAACAACCTTTCTCCCTCCTCTATATGACATCCTTTTATATATTTGAACATGGCTATCATATCACCCCTTAACCTCCTCTTCTCCAGGCTAAACATGCCCAGCTCCCTTAGCCGTTCCTCATAAGGCATCGTTTCAAATCAAAAATCAAAAATCCCCTGCTCCTGGTTTTAACATTTGGAAGGAGGGAAAGAATATCACAGCATTTTCACCGTTTCTGGAAGTTGCGGCCTGTGCGTTCCCCACGAGCCTGACTCAAAGAAGGGCATCTTTGTCATCCTCTCCTCCAGCGCCAGCCACCAGGAGCAGATGGCCGTGTTTATCATCCGTCAGTCAAAAATAAAAAGTGGGTTCTGGTTGGCTCAATGAGCCACACTAATTGTTTAATGCACTGCACTTAGTTTAAGCTTTTGCATCTGGTATCTATTTTCATAAGGAAGAACTTGCAGGGATGCAAACTTGCTCTGCTTAATTTTATTTTGTTTTAAATAGCAGGCTTGGGAGGGAAGCAGGGATTATATCTTCCCCCGCCCCCGCTCCCTCCCAGGCCGATGGAAACTCAGCTAGCATTCCTAAATGAGGTGTCCAGCTAAGCTTCAGAAACATTTATATAATCAAAGGCCAATTCCCCAAGTGCCATTACTCTCCGGGGAATGCGTGGCCCTCCAGATGTTGTTGGTTGGTCGCTGTGAGAACAGGGTCTCCGGCTGTTTTTGGACTACAACTCCCATCATCCTGTGCTAGCAAGACGAGTGGTCAGGGATGATGGGAACTCTAGTCTGCAAATAGCTGGAGACCCAAGTTTGGGGAATGATCTAGAGCAGGCATAGGCAAACTCCGGCCCTCCAGATGGTCCTGTTAGCTAAGGATGATGGGAATTGTAGTCCCAAGCATCTGGAGGGCCTATGCCTGATCTAAAGGCTCCTGCCCCATGTGGTCCTTCCTCTGGTGAGCTATGGCAGGGTCACATGTTGAGGAGGAGGGCTGGTTCTTTACAGCTCCTGTTATGTTCTGTGGGGCAAACTAAATCAAATGCATGTAGAAAAACTGCTCACAGAAGGCCAAAGCTGGTATCTGTTAAGTATAACTGGTTTAATTCACACCAAAATGGGAATACCTGTATGCATTGGTGAAAGGGTTTAACTTGAAGATTCCACTGAAGGTAAATTAAGAGCAAAAAGGAGCTCTCTGAGCTGCCATGATGGGCTGATAATTAACTGTTATTGTTCTCAGATAGCTCTGATGTGGTGCTTTAACCTTAGATCACATGAAAAGGTATTGAAATGCAAATTCACCATCTCTGAAGGATAGTGGCTTCCTTCCTAGGCTCTGTAAGAGTGAGGGTGTAAATGCAGCTCTGCAGGAGCACACAGCCACAAGCTTTGGGGAGAGACAGACCTCTGTTTCTGGGTCTGTTGGAATTATTTCATGTTTTGTAAGATGCCAAGCCTGCCATATGTCTTATGGAACTGCTTGGATGTATCATTTGATACATCTTCTGTTCTGAAGAAAGTTCTACAGGTAAACTTTTGAACAATCTAATGTGTCTGGACGATGCTTCATTTAAAACGGAATCAGTTTTTAGGCACCGAGTCCCTTCAAACTGCACAGTATGTTTGATCTGTATCAACCACAACTACCACAGACACACACTTCATTCCACTGATGGCTCCAATTCTTTGACTCTGCCCCCATATCTGCTTTTCCTGAATTCAGGTCCAACTAGAAAAAATAATTCCAGAATCGGAGGCTGCACAATTATGCTACACAGCTCCTTCGGTTCTTTTCCGCTCACTACATGCGTGAGAAAGACCGCATTTTTGGTGAGAAAACACCAGCCAGTCACACATTGGGGCATCTGCCTTGCAAATAAGGCTCTTTAAATGTTCTGGTTTGTGATTTAGAGCAAGGCAAACACACCTTCTCTCAGTGGATCTGTTTCAAGAGAGCACATGCATGCCAAGAAATGCCCGCGATCCCGCAAATGAACATGGCAAATGGGAGGTTTTGGAAAGAGGGATAGAGAGAGAGAAAAAATCAGCAAAATACTTACTCAACGTATTTGTTCCAAGGAGGGAGTTCAGACCATGCCATGAACACACAGTTGGTTAAAATAGTGCACATGATAAACATACTGAATAATGTAAAAGCACAAGTTAAGGAAAGTACTTTGAATGAGTATTTAAAAACAAAAAACAAAAAAACCCAGCCCTTGCACTTCGCACTACAAGCAACATCACAACCCTTTCCTGGGTAAAGTGTGAATGTACATTAAGGAAGGATGTGTAAGAAATCTTAAGTGAGCAAATTCACCGCAAGTTCATAAACCAAACTTCCACTGGCAAGACAGCATCCTTCCGCAAACAAAAACCAATGATCTCTGAGTGTGTGTGTGATACAATGGCTGTGCAAAACAGATCAGTCAACTCAAAGGTCATCCATTAAATACATGTTCTTCTTCTTAAGGAAGGTCATAAGAACTCCTGAGAGATGGAGCCACCTCTCTATTTATTCTGGGCAAATGCTGGCTTGTTCCAAGTACCATGTTTCTAGTCTTCCAGCCCATGGACTG